AGTTCTCTACCAATGGGACCACCGGCCAGTGCCTTCTGCTTGAGACCCACCCTAATCTAAGCCTACCGCTCTGGACTCTCCACCTGCAGTTCCTGGGCTGTTTCGGGCTCTGTGAACCATGTGAGATCCAAGCACTCAAAGGAGTTAGCGGTTTTCTCACATGTGCTCCTTGGCATCTGTTCTGTAGCCTGCCAGCCGTATTTGATGCTGGGGGAGGAAGGAAGAGCTGTCTCCCCAACAGAATCCTTTGCCAGACCTCTGTCGCCTGGCCTTGACAGTCCTTCGTGCAGGTTGGTGCGGAGGCAATGACATGCCAGTAAAAATTCTTGCTCGGATCCAGTGGTTTATTTAGCTAACAGCTAAGCTAATTACGTCAGTTTGACAATTTTAAGAAGGAAGGAAAAAACACACATGGGCTGGATGAGGAGATTGTCTCAGGAAGACCTTACACCAAGACATGGTTAGGAAACCTAATGATTTCTTGGTAAAGTCTCTAAGCAATCAAGCATTTCCCTGTAATCAAGACCACCACCAGATTTTTTTTTAAAAAAACACATTTTCTCCCCACAACTAAAACAAAGCTAAGTAAGGAAACATGCCAAGCAAAATAAATAAATAAATAAATAAATAAGCATTCATTTTTTAAATAATGGAATGTTTCCTCTGACAGGAGAAGAGGCCTTTCACTAGGAATCTAGAGGCCTGGGTTCTAGTTTCTGCTCTGCTTCTAAGTAACCCTCTCTCGATCTTAACTTTCTGCCTGTACAAGTGAAGGATCAGCCAGGCTGGATGATCCCTCACAGTTCTTGCATGCCAGGATGCTGTGAGACTACGGACGTCCAGCTTGCAGGAGAGTCCTGGGGCAAGGAGGGGAGGCTGGTGAGCATTGGCACTAAGCACACGTCACAGGTTCTCTGCCTTATAGCCAAAGCCATATCCCCTGCCATGGGCAGAAAAGGCCTTCCTGGCTTCTTCTATCATTAGTCTCAACACCTCGACTCCATTCAAAGGCTCATTCAAAAGGTTGCATTTTCTTTGCACAGAATTCTTACCAATCTCTTTCTCCTCTAGGTGTTGAACCTAGTTACAGATTTATTCATCTTTTCCACACATCTTTTTGAGTGCCTCTTATAGTATTGTACTGCAAAAGACACTATTCCCCCTGCAGAGCAAGCAAAACTATCTTCGATGGCTTGGAGATACCTGCTAGAGCTTTAATATTTCCTGCATGAGAAATGGGCTGGGTGTCATTCTCACATCATGGATGGTAAAACGAGGACCCACAGGCAAACAATTTCAGTGCTCTGGAGGTGGAAGACAAAAACAAAGTCTGCAAACAGACTGTGCTGGAATAGAGTCTAACAGAACACTATAACAGAACGGTGTTGCAGCACACCTTATTCTCTTCTGCACCTAGCAATGGTAAGTACGACCACGATACCTGACATTTACAAGGCACTCTATGGTTGAGCAATCTCTTTTGCAAATACTCTATCATTTTCCTTAACAAAAACCTTTCAAGGTATCACTAGCATTGCCTTTAATAGATGGAGTTTATCAATGCTCAGAAAGTTCTAAATGACCAGCCCGAGGTAACTATTAAACAGTGGAGCTGAGACTGGATCTGGTGTTTACTTTAAATCTCATACTCTTTCCATCATGATAAGACTGCTCTGAACATTTCTTATTCCGTCTTCATTTTTGAAAGCCTGTTTTAGTGAACTGAAGCTTGCCAAAGCCTCATTCTGACTACAAATCACGGAGCCTCCCCCGTGAACTTACCAACTGCTCCAGAGTTACTTCTTAAATCTTGTTTTAGCCATTAAATTTTGGCTAAATAAATAAAGCAGGCATTTTAACTATGTAAGAGGAACTAAAATAGGAAAAAAACGACTAACTTCTCACTACATTTTGCTTGTCAATTGAGTAAAAAACAATTCAGGACTGGATTTAGACATATGTCCATGGCTCTAGGGACGAGGCACTTGGGGAATTGTCTCCAGGTCCATAAAAGTGCCTCATTTCACTGACACTGAGAGAATGGAAGAAGAGGGAAGCGTGGAGCTTGTAGCACAAGGGATTCACATTAAAGACGCAACAGAACTTCAAGATAGTGAGAGCCGTGGTTCACTGGGATGAGTGGATAGATGCTTTAGGAATGTGCGGAAACGGCTTCTCTTGACATGGAATTCCCCTAAGAAGCTTGGGGTGGGGGTAGAGAATGGAGGGTGGTGGGTGAAATGATGTCACCAGTTTCCATAAAATCTGCATGGTGTAGGTCCAGTTGGCACAGTCAAAAGAGCACTGGACAAGGAGTCAGGTGGTCTGGGTTCTCCAGGGCTCCGCCACTGTCTAGCTACGGACCGTCAGGCAGGACAGGTAACTTCTCTGAGCCTTAGTTTCTTCTCCTTAATCATGAAATGAGACTAATGGGTTTTGGTCTAATCTTCCTGACAGATGATAATGAGAAACACTTGAGATACCGTTACTATGTGTAAGTTCACGAGGGCAAACTTCTGTTGTTTGTTTTTATTACTACCATATCCCAAGAGTGTGCCTTGGGATATGTACTGGACCTGGTACACAGCAGGCATTCAATAAATCTTTGGTGAATAGATGTATAAATAACATGGGTAAAAATACTTTGAAATGTAGCAAAAATGGAAATGGGAAGCGTCACAGCCATGTCAACTGTCTGTGGCGACTGTCCCAGTGTGTGCCTGTCACTCTTTCCACCTCCACACTACCCGTGCCCATGCCTATCAGTGGGGTGAGTTCAGATGGGACAGAGTGACAGCTCTGATCGCTACAAACTAAAGTCACGCTGGTGGCTATGGGAAGCGTAACATGATCTGTGGCAAAATTTCATGCGAGAGAGGCTGCTATTGGCTCCTCTTTGAGACCATCCTATTTTCCTCGAGCCTTGTTGAAGGGACTATAAAGGAACCTACCTGCCATTTTTATCAGAACCCAACAGGGACATGGGCACACAAAGCAGGAAGAACACCTCCCGAGTCTGTGCCCTTTGAAGAACTCCTTCTGGCTGATCATGTTCTAATTCCTGGGGAGGACAGTTAGCTGATGCCCCAACTGACCGCAGGCCGTGGTGATCAGACAGTTGAATAGGCACATACCCTGTGTAAGCAAAGAAAGCTGGTACCCATCTCTCAACTCGCTATTGACTTAGCATTTTTCCAGGCAATCTCCCTGCCCCATCACAGAGTCGCCCCTCAAATATAAACGTCAAGTAAGGCAGCAGAAATTAATTTAATATGCTTTATGGGTGCTGGGCAATACTCAGAAGGCTAACAATGGCAGGACAGAATTATAAAAGAATGGGGAATGAGTATGCTTTATAGATGCTGGCACACTGCCCAGGGCAGTAGAGTAAGTGGGAGAAGGAAACACTGATAATTGGGGTCAGTGGTCAGCTTTCTTTTCAGAGTGAATGGTTTTTAGAACCACCAGGACGTTTCCTTTTAAAGACAGTGCTCGGGTTCTCATTCCCGAGCCTACCTCAAAGGCATCGGGATGGTCGAGTTTTCTAATGTTGCAGGTATCAGGTTGCTAGTGGTGGCGGCAATGTGGTTCTGGCAAGCGTGGAATTCTTTGTGTGAGGAATAAGGACAGGAACACCTAACTGGTATCCTCCTGGATGAAACGTTTGAGCACATGGTTAACTGGCTCTGGAATTACATGGCCTGGATTTGAATTCCACTTTTGCCATTTACTGACTGTGCAACCTCAGGCAGCTTACTTAACCGACATGTACCTTAGTTTTTCTGTTTATAAGCTGGAAATAAGGCTAGCACTTATTTCATAGGGTTGTTAAAAAGATTCAGTTGGTTGATTCATGTAAAGCATGTAGAAATTTTCACATAGTAAGTACTCAGCTAGCATTCGTTATATAATAATAATTACACTGTCAACAAGAAGTATGCAATTTGAATGTTACAACTTGAGATTAGGGATTGCATCCTGTCCAACTTTCTTCTCTCCCTGTCAGTGTCCAGACACGATAATGCTGTGATTCCATGACCCTGTCCCTACTTTTCAATCTCAACTTCCATCAATATGAAGTAGAGTTGAAAAAGTGCTTCTGAGAGTTGAAGTCTTTAGTTTGAGTGCCAGCTAAGCTACTAACTTGCTGGGTGACTCTGGGATAAAGTCACTCTCCCTCTTGGAATCTCACTTTTATGTTCATTCTTTTAAACAAAAGAACTCTTTTATTGTTTCTATTTAGCAAATCGGTAACTAAATGCATATTCACAGTTAAAAATTCCTGAATTAATCTCAATAAATCACAAATTTGAATTATTTCATTACAAACTACTTTCTTTTTTAAAACTTTTTTATTTCATGAAATTATGGGGGTACAAACATTTTGGTTACATGTTATGACTTTGCCATATCCCAACCATGATTTGATGTGCCCTTCTCCCCCCACAACATTCACCCCATCCATTAGTTGGGAGTTTACCCACTCTCAAACCCCTACTCCCAAAGAATGTTACTACTCTGTGAGCTCCTTAGTGTTGCTCAGTCAGTACCAGTTTGATGGCGAGTACATGTAGTGCCTATTCTTCCATTCTTGTGATACCTCACTTCGGAGGATGGGCTCAAGCTCTATCCAGGAAAATATAAGAGGTACTACTTCACCATTGTTTCTTATAATTGAGTAGTATCCCATTATTTTCATTTTTAAATGAGGGGATTGGACCAGTTGATCCCAGAGATGCTTCTAGTCTTAACATCTAAGAAATCTACCCCTGTGGAAGCTCAGGGACCCTCACACCTAAATTCTTAGGTGACTTGGTTTGGCTTCTACTTTGTGTTGACTGCCAGGGGTGCATCACCAATACTATTTTCCCAAGTTACATTTTCACCATATTTTCTGCCTCCCACTCCTCCTACTCCTCCTCTGTCACCTAGCAACTTGGAATCCCAGTGTGAGTAAGTGGGAGGAACTGGAATTTCCAGAGTCCAGCCAGCCTGCAAACTTCCTCTTCCTCCTCCCTGGGCCACCCCTACATTTCTTGCAGTTTCTCAACATACGTGGTCTTTTTACTTCCAGAGCTTCCTTCAACTGAAGACGTTCTATAGGGTGAGAGGTAACATGTGAGTGGGTCTGTCTGGTGTAGTCGTGGAGCTATCATCTTTCCCTTAGTTTATCCTCAAGTCAGCCAGAAGTTGAAGTACTAATCTGTATAGCCAGCATGTGCAAAATCCTTACCCTGTACATGGTCTTAAAAGTCAAGATTTATATGAAATTGTAGTATGACATAACTCTTAACTTAGGACCTTGAAGTAGAGAAATGATATATGACCATAAAATGGCCTAACATGGTCCATCAGTGCTCTCTCCTGTTGGCATTTGTGTGTCTATTTGATTAATGCCTGGTTCCCCCACCAAAGTCTAGAACTAGAATTTTTATAAAGGTGGAGGCAGTAGTTTTACTTACTGTAGCATCCCCAGCATTGAACAGAATGCCTAATCCATGATGAGTTGTCAATAAATATTGAGTGAATGATTGAATGAGTATAGATTAGTCTATTATATTAGTCATTTGGAACTTAAAATCACAGAGTCCCTGTCTTGGGAACAGATGGGGAGAGGAAATTCCACCAGGGGTGAATGGGAACAGTAGTACAGGGGCCACGAAATGGCCAAGATCTTCTGGGCCTCACTGAGACGATTCCTGTTATGCTACAGGCACCTCTTGACTTGGCCACGTGTACATCACCCTGTCTCCACACTGTACAAAAGGACCTCAGGGAATTCTCAGCCCAATCATCTCAGGAACTAACGCCTAGGAGGACAGTGGCACTTTTAAGAGCCAACCTTCTGGGTGGGTCATAGAGAGTATAGCAGCCAAAATAAGGTTTAGAAAGAGCCAAATATGAAACGAACAATTCATCATGAAAATATGGGGCTTACCCCAGGAATGAAATATTCAAAAGCAATCAGTATAATCCATCATATTAAAATCTAAAGAATAAAATCACAAGATAGTATAAGTTGATACAGAAAGCAGCGTTTGTCAAAATTCAATATCCATTCTTAATATAAGCTCTCAGCAAGTTAGGAACAGAGGGAACTTCCTCGCCTGACCTAGAGAGGCTACGAAAAGCCTACACTTAACATCACAGTTAACGTTGGGAGACGGAATGTTTCCTCTCTAAGACCAGAAGCAAGGCAAAGACATCCATTCTCATTACTCACTGGAATTCTTAGTGCAATAACGTAAGAACAAGAAATTAAAGTTATTCAGATTAGGAAGAAAGAAAGTTACCTCCACTTGCAGACGACATGATTGTCTATGTAGAAAATCCTAAAGAATCTACAAAAAAAAAAAATTCCTAGAACTAATAATTGAACTTAGCAAGGTCACAGGATGTAGGGCCAAGACCTAGAAATCCATCATATTTCTAGATACTAGCAGTGAACAATTAGAAACTGAAATGTGAAAGAAATCGTATCACTTACAATAGCTCTAAAAATAAAATACTTAGGTATAAATCTAACAAAATGTGTATGAAATATGTATACTGCAAAATGCTGATGGAAAAAATCAAAGAAGACTTCAATAAGTGGGACAAGATTACATATACTCAAATAGGAAAGATGGCAATTCCAGTCCCAAACCCAATAGCCTTTTTTTAAAAAGAAAAACAGACAAGCTAATTCTAAAATTAATTATGGAAAATTAAAGGAACTAGAATAGGTGAAAAAACAACTTAAAAATTAGAACCAAATGGGAGAACTCACACTGCCTGATTTTAAGATTTATTATAAAACTATAGTAATCAAGATAATGAGGTATGTATGATAATTTAGATAAATTATGGATAAAATGGAATAGAATGTTTAGAAATAGGCCACAAAATATGATCAACTGACTTTGACCAAGGTGCAAAGGCAATTCAGTGGAGAAAGTATTTTTAACAAGTGATGCTAGAACAATTGGATATGCATATACAAAAAATGAACTTTGATCCATACCTCACAGCACATACAAAAATCAATTCTAAGTAGTTCATAGACCTAAAGGTAAAAAGTAAAAGCTATAAAAATTCTGTAAGAAAGCATAGGAGAAAACCTTTATGATTTTGGATGAGGCATGGATTTCTTAGATAAACATCAAAAGTAAGACCCCTAAAATAAAACATTAAAAAATTGGACTTTATCAAAACTAAGTATACGCTCTTTAAAAGACACTGTTAAAAGAATGAAAAGAAAAGTTGGGAAAAAGGACTTGCAAACAATATATCTGATAAAGGTGTATATCCAGAACATAGAGAACCCTCACAATTCACTAACAAGAGAAACAAACTGCATAATAATTAACCAATTAAAAAACGGGCAAAGGGATTGAATAGACACTTCACCAAAGGGATATATGGATGGCAAATAAGCACATGAAAAGATGTTCAACATTGTCAGCTATTAATGAAATTCTAATTAAAAACACAATGAGATATCACTATCACCTGCTAGAATGGCTCAGTAAGAATACGGACAATATTAAGTGCTGGTGAGGATGTGAAGCAACTCATATACTGTGCTGGTGGGAACACAAAATGTAGTAGCCGATCTGGAGAAGAGTTTGGCAGTTTCTTATAAACTTACAGATGCTTATTATATGACTAATAGGAATCCCACTCCTAGGTCTTCAGCTGAGAGAAATGAAAACTCACATTCACCCGAACACCTGTATGTGGATATTTATAGCAGCACCGTTCATACTCCCCCGAACTGGAAAAAAACCCAACAAATCATTCAACAAGTGAATGGAAAAACAAGCTGTGGTCAATCCATACAGTGAAATGCTGGTTTGTGATAATAATAACGAATGATGATGAAGATCTATTGACACATAACAACTTGGATGAGTCTCAAAGGCACATGCCAAGTAAACAAAACTCACTTCAGAAGGTCACATACCGTTTGATTTATTCCTATGACATCCTCAGAAATATAAAACTCTGGGGGTGGGGAAAGGATCAGGGATTGTGGGGGTGAGAATATGGAGAGAGTGTGACTCCAAGGAGGCAGCACGAGGCAGTTCTTTGGGGTGAGGGGCTGTGGGAACTCTGGGAACAGTGCTGCTTACTTGTCCTACACGTATGTGAAAACTCATAGAGCTGTGTACCCTGCAAAAGTCAATTTTGCTTTTAATTTTTTTTAGAAATGAATACAGAGCTATTTCGAGGGAAGTGAAGACACAAAAGGTAACCCAAGAGGGCCCAATGGAAGAGGAGGAGGCAGAAACAGCAGCACTGCCCTTGGCCCTTGGCTCATGGCTCTCTGCTGAGTATGAGTCGTCGGTCACTTTCAGCATCACCTGCGGAAGCCCTGCCCCTTCCATCCCTTGAGTTGCTTCTCTGGCTCACGACTCCTCCGTGCCATGGAGCAGGCACTCTGCGACGGGTGGGAGTGTCACCAAAAGACGTAAGCACGGGGCTTCCCAAGTGGCTGAGCTCCAATTAAGCACCGTCCTCACCGTTGACCAGCAGCAGCCGCGCCCTCTTACCCAAATCCTCCCTCCCCTGCACTCTGGATGCTCTCTGAATGGCACCAATCCGAACCCAGGACAGCCACTTGTCCACTCACTTCCCAAATATTCACAGGGCCCCTACTGGGTGCCAGGCTCAGCCAGGGGCCCTGCTGCCAGAGGGAGCCCCAACTGGCAGTTCTGGAAAGCACAGCTGTCAGAGCAGCTGTCCTCCAGAGGACCAGCAGTGGCATGTACTGTCCCAAAGGACCTAGGCCATTAGCTCATTTCCCATCTTTGCAGATTTTAAATGTTTTCCAAACTTTACCCCTTTCTCAGATGAAGGTTTAAACATAGGCAGACGGACATCCAATATGGCAATATTTTTCTGTTGACTCACCAACTTCTACCAGCACTTGTTTCCTCGCCTCTCTGACCCTATTCCATTTGCACTCTTAGAGTGACAACTTTTCCCAGCTTATTGACAGAAAAAAATCATTCTCTTTCTGTTTCCAGAGGTACAATAGGAGGCTGGTGAGAGTAGATCTTCAAGAGCGGGCAGATTGGCAACAGAACGGGCTGGAGTTTACGCGGCAGGCAGGAGCTCCGGTTCATGTCCATAGTCAAACAGCCTGGGGAGCTGAAGGTCGTGTGTACTGAAGAATTGCTACAATCCCTTTCCAAAAACTGGACAGAAATGGAAGAAACTCTCTTCCAAATATCTGCACAAGCAACGTAGGATAGAAATGCTCTCAAAACACAGTCGTGTCCTGGGGGCAAGAGATGTTTTTGATAAAAGTTGCGATGACAGCAGTTCACAACAGACCCACATTCAGGGAACTGTTCCAGCATGCCAGAGGTTTGGAGGCTTTTAACTCTCATAATTCCTCCTCGCACCGCCTGCTAAGCTAAAACAATGTTAAGGAGCTGACAAACCACAAAGACCAGGAAATGCAGAGTGAGCGCTGATGGGAAGAGCTGTGGAAGGTAAATGTGCATCAGAACGTAATCTGGGGGCATGGGCTAGCCTTATTAGGCTTGAAAGCCTTTCTGATGATTTCCCAGCACACACAGAGGACGCCAGCCCAAAGGTGCCCAGAGAGGGAAGGGAAGGAAATGAACGTGGTCTGGATATCACTGTCCACCTTCCCGGCACATGCTGCAAACCTGCTACCCGCGTGTAGTGGGCAGTGAGGCTGGCCTAATGCTAAACTTGGATCAGCGCTTTGCTGAGTGAGAAGACCAGTGTCAGCCCTTAATGTAATGCTTTCTTAAATTAGTCGCCATTTCCTGGGAGCAGGAGCAGAGTTGAGGAATCTGGGTTAGCTTGCAGGGAGGTGTCACCAAGGGAGGAAATTTAGTAACATGAGACAGTTCCACCCACCCCACCCCCACCTCCTGCCCCCAACATCCCAAGCAAATCTCATCTGGATAATTTTCCTTACCTTCCCTCTTCCTGATAGCTCTCCTTCACCAAATTCAGATTCTTTGGATAAGAGCAACAGAGCCCAAACTGAAAGATACTTCCTATTGGCATCTGCCTGTTCCTCTGTCCGCTGCTAATAGTTATGTAAATATGACACACCACAGACAAAAGACATTCTGACTGGGTGGAGTTAGAGAAAGAAAGGAGATCAGAGGAATGCACCAGGTACCCCCTCCTGTGTCTGTCTCTTGCCCCTCCCCTGCTCTTTTTCTACCTGCCCCAGCGGTCCATGAGCACAGAATCCCACCCACGAGGCCTCTCACAGCTGCCCTGCTGGCTGCTTGACTGAAAAATGAAGGCAAGTCAATGGACAGAGACCCTACAAGATCTCAAACTGGGGAGAATTCTTGATCATCAGTACTCGAATTGGTACTGACTGGGGCTGAGTGTTGGTGCTGGTGTAGTTCTCACCAGCAGTCCCTCTCTTTTTGGGGGGTGCATTCCACGCCCCCCAGTGGATGCCTGAAACCATGGGGAGTGCCAAACCTTACATACTTTATGTTTTTTTCCTATACATACATACCTATGATAAAGATTAATTTATAAATTAGGCACAGTAAGAGCTTAACAAAAATAACTAATCATAAAATAGAACAACAATAACAATATACTGTAATAAAAGTTATGTTATGTGGTCTCTCCCTCTTTCTCTCTGAAAATATGTCATTGTACTGTTCTCAACTGTTTTCAAACTGCAGTTGACCCCTGGTAACCGAAACTGCAGAAAACAGAGCCACTGATGAGGGGACCACTGCAGTTCTCTTGACCTTGGCAGTCTTGAGGGGTTGGAGAGCACCTGATGGATGCTAGCAGGCTGGCCTGGGGGCTCGTCCTCGCTCTAACCAGCTGAGTGACTGGAGTGGGCTCAGCCGCAGGTGCAGCTGTGTGCCCTGCAGGGCCCAGGCGGAAGGGAGAAGGGCGCAGCAGCATCTCCCACCGGACAGCCCTCTCTACCACCCCCACCCCGGACTCCTGTCTAGGGCTCCGCAGGCTTCAGGGCACCAACATTCAACTAGGTCCCCAAACAAGGACCTGAAGCCTCCAATGCCTTCTGATGGGACTGTTGCTCAGGCCATTCTGAAGACAGTCTGCAGCGTGCAGGCCACCTTGTTCTCATTCCCCTTTCTCAGCAAATCCAAATGGCAGGGACTAAAGATAGTCTCTGACCCCTGAATCTGCTATTCCTTTTTAAATTGCTGGAAAGGGTTGTAAGGCCAAAGGAAAGAAACATCAGGGAGATGCTGCCCCCTTCTGGGAAACATGCAAAAGAAAGACTCCAAAGAGCAGGCATTTTTTACCCAATGTACAATTCTCATCGTGGAGGAAATGCACTGCTCTATGTTCTGGGGATAACCAAAGAATAACATTCTAGATGTACTCACTGGACTCTAAGGGAATACGGATAAAATGATTAATCCAATAGTCATTGAGACTTTCCCTGAAAGATGAGCAAAACCTCCAAGGGGAAGGGACAGGATTTAGGAGATTATTGCTGTCATCCCCCTACCTCTGAGCAAGAACTCAGGCATGGCTCAGTCTCCTAGCACCCTTATCAGTAGAAAGAAAGTCTCCCTATGTCCAACAAATCCCTTTCCTGCTGTAGTTCAAGTTCACACTTCCTTTGGGTCACTGATTAGTTGAGCGAGCAAACCAAACTTGCACACCAACTATTGCTAAGCTCACAAACATGAGCCCGGCCTTGCCCTCAGGAGCTCACAGTATGTAGGGAGAGGGGCAGAAAGGCAGCCTAGAAACAAATGTCACCTGTGTGAATGTGCCTGTGTGTTAAAGGAGTGGCAGGGGGCACAGAGAGGTGGGCATCAGGATCCCAAGGTGTCCTCATGCGAGAGATACAGACACTGTAACTGAGCCCCAGAGAGTGCATGGGGTTTAAGGAGTGATGGCCAAGAAGCGCAGTGACGCACGCGTGATGACGTGCACAGGCAGACGGGCGGGAAAACATTCCCGGTTCTTTCTTCCTCTCTTGTGTTCTTCCCGTGGGGAGGAGAAAACAATAGGCCACTTCAGCTTGAGCTGGACACACACCATGGAAAGCAGCTTACATGCAACCTTCTGTCTGTAAATAGCACCCTGCATGCACTCACACACCCCCCTCTGAAAATAGCCTTGGCTGTTCTCACAGTGACTTTGAACTGAGAGTTTATATTTAGTTTACTCTCCCCCATCTATTTATATTTCTTTTGTTTACATAAATATTCCTCTCCACTTATTGCTGCCATGTCTGGGCACCTGATGTCATTAGAAGAACACATAGCAACTTCATTCCATACGAACTGAGCAGCTAAATTCATCCCCCCAATCTCTGATCTGTTCTCAAATATGTGTTTTAGAATTCCACCAGCCCAGGCTGGCAAAGCGGCTGGAGGAGTCATTTGTTTTCCTCCCCCGCCTCCAGCTAGATTCCCTGGAACTGGACTGTTTAAATTTCACAGGCCTCCCAGGAAGGGAGCTGCACTCCACCCCTTTTGTCCTAAATTGGCATCCTGCAGCCACTGCCTTGCCTCTGCCAGAATCGTGAACAGCTCGCGCTGCTCGAGGGAACCGCCATAGGCGGCAGGCTGTATTCCTGCGGCCAGTTCCACTCCCCAGACAGTGGCCCCACTTTATTCCCTGGGGGCCTCCCCCCTTATTTGTATCAGTCTCTGCACCATTTTCATGCATCCTCCTCAGAACCTCCCTGCAGATTCTGTGCTTGTCTTAGGGTTGTGGGTTCCGGAACCCCAGTGAAGCTCTGGGTTTGGCTGGAAACCACTGGAAGATGGGGTGTGAGTCCCTGGGGTGGCACCCCGGTCAATCACATTTGTGCTGCCTCCACCCAGGGCATCACACACAGCACAGGCTGTTGGTGGACTCTGGATTTTTCTGTAAGCTTCTCTCATAAGAGTAGAAAGAACATACACTCTGGAGTCAGACAGTCCTGGAGGTAGGTGACACTCGGCTGCTCGGAGCTGTGCAATCTTGGGCAAGTCCATAAACTTCTCTGAGTCTTCATCTCCTCGCCTGTCACCTCTATGAAGATACGACACCCACCTTTCCAAGCCCTGAGAAAGTATGAAGTGTAGGAAGAGCAGGTGTCCTGTGGTCTCTACATGTCTATATTCCCTTCTGCTTTCTTCCCCCAAGAAGTCTACGTGTCTCTCTCTCAACATTTTAAAACAACCCGTTCTAATTAAGATTTCCTATAACCTCCATAGAGCCTAAGGAAGTCTAAATGGCTCTCTGAGCGGAGTCAGCACTCCCAGACAGAAGCAAGCCTTTCTTAACACAGAGCACGGGCTGCAAGTCACTTTCTAGAAAGGGGTCAAATTGCTGCATAGCCTTGGTGGCTATTTGGATGGACAGGTTGGGCGAAACAGTAACCAGAACCCTGTTCTGTGGGGCACGTCCCTGCTGGAAGCACACGTTCTTCGTCTCTGATGAGGGCTGAGCAGGAGGAGCAGGAGAACACGGGGAAGAGAGGTGGAGACCGAGGCAGCCAAAGAGGAGCGCCCAGGTGGGGGAGGGAACAGACTGCCACATGAGGCCAGACTGCCAGACCCGTTGTCGCGCACGCTCTCTCACGCTGGGCTCCCACCTCATCCTCCTCTGCTGGCGCTGCGCGTACAGCCAGTCTGTTATTTACTCCAGGTAAGCCTGCCTTTCATTCCAGTCTCAAGCCAAGGAGGAAAGAACAAAGAATCAGAAACTCAGAGAAAAGTAAAGTTCTAAATTGTGTCCCAGTTAAAAGCTCTTCTTCCACATGCAATATTATGTAAATCACCTGAGAAAAGTGGCCTCGTTAAGAGCCTGCTCATTCTAATCCTCCCCCCGGCCAGCGTCAGCACTCCGGCTTTTGGGGGGTGGGTGGGGACTAAGGCCCGCGTCCCCTAGAGAGGCAGCGGCTGAAACAGGCAATCACCAAGCAAGGCGAAGGATCCCCGGCTGGACGGACGCCACTCTCGCCCGGAGAGATCGTCCCTAAGAATCCGGCTTCTTCCCAGAGACAGCTGAGCACCCCAGCTCGTGTGTCCTCATCTCACGCGGGCCGGCCAGTCGGCCGAGTCCCCCCTTTCTCTCTCATTCAGCGATATTTGTGCAGTTCCTGCTGTGGGCCGGGCACTGTCCCAAGCTCCTGCCATCCACTAGTGAACTCAGCAGGGGAAGCCCCCTGTGGCCGCGAAGCTCGCAGCAGCTTCCTGCTTCCTTCCCGGTGGTGATGCCAACGTCACCGCAGCCTTCGGGGTTAGCTCGGCAGTCCTGCGGCCACCGCTGATAAGAAGAGGAGAGAGGCACAGAGAGTGGACACCGAGCGATTCAGAGGCGGAGCTGGAACAGGAGCCCGGGGCTCCTAGCTCTCGGTATAAGGCTCTGTCCACTGTTGCCCTCTGCCTCTTGCCTTGATGCTAATGAGGCCCGAGTCTGCCCTTTCTGAGTTGGGGCCATTCCTCCAGGGAGCCTACCCAGACTGCCTCACCACACTGACCTCCCCACCTTGAATGACCTCAACCCATGCTCAAGTGCTGTGCTTGTTGTTCAATGCTGTTTTGAATGTCATGCACCCCTGGCCAGTTTGTAAATTTCTGCTGGCAAAGGCAGCATAGAGAACCTCTGGATCCTTTAGTAGCACTCCTGACCAGGGTGCTGCCGTGGCTTGTAAGATGTCCCAAGACCCTGATACCCTTGGTTCTCAGGGCCTCAGAATAGGGTCTGGAGCCCGAGAACATGACCTCTGGTGCAGGTGGCCTCATCTGTTTATCCAGGTGAATTGTACGAATCACTTTATATGGGTCCCATTATATTTTAAAAAAAGCGAGGAAGCTCTGCTTACGTCCCCAGCAGAGAACGGGACACCTGTG